GAGGTAGGTAAATTAACAAAAACAAAAAGAAAACACAGTAATAACTATAATAAACAAATAGTAGCAATGAAATAGTATGCAAACTAAAAAAAAAAAAAAAAAGAAAACGCAAGATTTGGGCGGCCAACACCCGCTCCGCATCAAATTACAGAAAAAAAAATAAACAGAGAAATACAGAGAAAAGCCAATTAGCTGCTAATTCAATTGGTAAATTAAAATTATATAGCAGTAAAAAAAAAAATATATAAATAAGTCTATAGATATACTATCCTGACATCTTGTTCAGTTCAGACCATGATGTAATTTTTGTTTTAGTACCGTTCACCACAACGTGAATCACACCGTCCAATGTCCACACCGATTTGTGATCAAATTTCTTTATAGCCTCACGGTACAGATCGTAACGCAACTTAGTTAGGTCCTCAACTATTGTAATTTTTGAACCCTTAAGTTTTCTCTTATTCCGCATTACAAGCTTTCGATCTCTATAACTAACAAATCTAACTATTAAGCTCTGCACGCCGTTATTCGGTCTTCCAATTGGGTGACAACGATCTATCGCATCCTCTCGCATCTTAATGTCCAGCTTTTCACGAAATAAATCCAAGACGCGCTCTTCGACTCGTTCCGGATCGCATTTCTTAAGCCCGATGATACGCACGCTCGTACGCCGCGAATACTGCTCCAGCGCATCGCACTTGTCCAGTGTTGCCAAATAGTTTGCAGCTACATTCGGTAGATCAGCTCGTAATTTTTCGGTAGATTTCGAGAAAATTCGGTAGATTTAAATTTGTATTCATGCAACATTTTTTTATAAGTAATATAAAAAAAGCTCAGTTATAAGTATATATATATATGTTTATTAAATAAAACAGAATACAAAAAAACTCTAATTTATTTTTACTGCTTAAGTATTTTTATACAAATTATGGGATGTCATACTTTGTATGATCTTCTTTTCTACAATAAAATCGTGGCAGTTATTCTCACCAATGTAACTTTTGGTGTGTAGTAATGCCGAAATAGTGTCAGCGTCTAGTTTATTTCTTTGGTTTGTTTTCATGAGATTTATTTGGGAAAACACCCTTTCAACGTTTGCGGATGAATGTGGTAAAATTAAAATATTGAAAACAAAATTCACTAATGTTCGAAACATTGAAGTCCCATCACCGCTTTCAATTTTGTTAACTTCATTCCAGATTAAGAAAACGTCATCCGGAAAGGCTAGGATTTCATTATTATTTCGTAAAAGACGCCATTCGTTATCCAGAGGTTGTAGCATGCTTTCATCAATTAGGTTGGGAAATAAAATAGCTACATCTGATATAGATGGAATTGAACCCGACTTTACCTCCAAAGGGTCTAGAAAATTAAATTTTTTCACAGGATTGTTCTTTAACGGAAATCTTTTTATTATTTGGTCACAGCCCTCAATATAGAATTCTAAACAACGCAACCTAAAAAAGTGCAATTGCTGCTGGCTTAAATTTGTTTGTGATATAATTTTCAACACATTTCCTCCAACGTAAATATCTTCAAGTGGCATATAGTTTCTTGGATTATTATATTCTACATTTTCAAGAGATGTGGATAATAAATACTCACGTTTAATAAAACAATCGAAAATGGCTTTTAGAATGTTACAAATGTTACGATACAATAAATGAAGTTTTGGTCTTTCGGCTTGCATCTCTCGGTTCAAACTATTAAAGAACGGTAATACAAAATCCAGAAATTGAAGAAACAACTTTGTAGTCGGATCATTTAATTTATGTAATATATTTTCAGCTGCTAAAAGATCTTTTTTGCTTACCGCATCGGTGAAAAATAATTGCAAAGCCCCGAATTGTTCTAAAATTCTACGTACCACAAAGTGTACTGACAGCCATCTCGTTTGAGTAGGGTTGCCAGACGTCCGGCTAAAGCCGGACATGTCCTCCTTTTTTGGCAGTTTGGTTATGGCCGGCTTTTCTCTCTGTCCGGCTTTTTCCAACTTAGGGAAAAAATTGCAAATTAAATCCGATTTCTACAATAATTACTCGATTTCTAAAGAGTGCAAACAAAATGCAACTGGTCAACCACAAAAATCTAACCGGCCGATCGACCGGCCCTGCCAGAAACTGCCTTGCAACGAGGCGCCATCGCCACCTATAACCTATAACCCCTCAAAAAAATTGGTTCGTCTGACAAATATTGTCCTAATCATAAACCACCAGGGGCTGCAAGTTCTTCGCAGTCAGATTTGCAAACCAAAATGCATTAGGTATAGACCACTAATCTAGTAGAGTTTTTATATAAAGTATATGTTTTTTGTTAATTGTTGTTATTATTGTTTATGTATTATGTTCGATGTTACCAGTA